CGGGCTGGCTCAGAACGAGACGAGGAGATTACTACGGGCTCTACGGAGAGGCCCAAACGAGAAAAGGTAGGTACGGTGGAGGCATCGGAACGCCACGACGTGGCCTAAGACTGGGAAAAAGGGGAGAACGGAACGTCCCTGACGGGTACAGGACGCCAGCAGAGGAGCAACGGAACGCTCAGAGGCTGCGTTGAAGCCCCAGAAGAAAATCGAAGAACGAGAGAAGACGGTAGAGGAGGCCGTCTGCTCCAAGCGAAGCAAGGGTGCGCTGGAATCGACGCCAGAAGACGCTGCGGGAACCAGGGTTAATCAGTTCTCGGCGATCATAGGGAAAGTGAGCTCAGGGCGGGTGGAACCCGTCGCTCAGAACGCCGAGGATGACGAGGAAAGTACCTAGGGGATGGATTCTACCGAACAATACGACCGTTTGTTTACCGACACAGAGCTGGATATGCTAGAACGCGGTGACGGTCCGGGGTACGGAATGAACCCGAGGGGTACGACAAGGAACTGGAGGAAAGGTTGATCCCGGTAGACGAAGACAAGATTTTACAGAGTGCCAAGCGGAGCGACAAGGAGCAGGAGGAGCCGACACTCGCGGATATGTGCGCCGTGCTTGGGATACCAGAGGAAGTGCTGGAACGCACACGGGAGGTCTCATCGGGAGACATGAGAAAGCCAGAGTATTGGCTGGATTGGTATGCCAGCGCATTGGAAACCTCGACGGAAGCGAAGATACGCGCGAATCGAGATTTTCGGGAGGTTGAAGAGTCCGAAGGAACGTTGCTACCTGTGGTAAGCGCAGTGTCGGGCGACAAGGACGAGAGTACGGGTACTGAGGTGCCTACCCGAGACGAGAAAGGGCGCGCGTTCATGCGGAACGTGTGTGTAGGACTCGCTGGGACTGACGCCTCGGTCTCTTGGAGCCCCGAAAAGGGGGCTGGAACGTTGCCGTTCAGGTGGCGTTCCATAATTCGTAATCATGTATACGAACTCCTCAAACGGAATGGAACGAGGAAAAGAGTCCTCATCAATGAGGCCCAAGAGTCTTAGAGAACGATGAAGCTGAGGACGACGTTCCACCGTTGCGGGACAAGGAGGACGAAGATTGTCTGGACGAAGAGTTGCTACGCGGATACCTGATTGATGTGGGAGGAACGCGAAATGTGGCGTTCCTGGATCGAGCTGTGGATTGGGCCCGTCGCTATTTTGAGGTTGAAGCTCGCGGTATAAGGGACAAGTTGCGCGAAAGGGCGAGGGACAATCCTGAGATAGTATACCCGGGCGCGATGAGCATCGCAACAAAAGGGCGGAAAAAGGTGACCTTTCAGTTGCCGACCGAGGAAGGAGCGGCCGCAGTTACCGAAGAGGCGCCCGAAGTTTATTGGGTGAGCGCGGGGGGAGCCCCTAGGAGGCCGAGAAGGCCTGGGCTGCGCGAAGCAGATGCAGGAGATGACGAGGAGGGCGACGACGACGTCGTGCCCCAGGGCAAGCGGGTCATCTGTAGCGTCGGGGGTATGCAGGCCCTATCGGATGGTTACATCGACTGCTGTCCGTCGGAGATGCTGGCTGAGACAGGCGCAATAGCGAGTCTAGTCGACAGAACGGTGCTGAGACGTCTTGGGTGTGACTCGGAGTCACTCCGACCTTACAGTGGAACGCTGGACAGCGTGTCGGGACACGCAATCCGTGTCCGTGGAGTGATTGACCTTCCGGTGACGCTCGGAACGCTGGAGAAGACACTTCCGTTTGTGGTGACCGATCACTTGTTCGTGGACGCGATCCTGGGGACGGATTCATTGAAGGCGTTCCGTGCTGTGATAGACCTCGAGGAGCAGTCGATGACGCTAAAGGAGACGGGGGACGTGATCCCCTTGGGCGTGGCGAGGGTGGAAGAGACGTATGCCGCCACGATCTCGTCGTCGGTACGGCTGGAACTAGGTCGCCAAGCTCTCGTGCGGTCTCGTGTTCGAGGAACTGTGAAGGACAAGTCGGTCGTGCTAGTCGAGGGCGTTCCGGGGGCGGACGATTCGTTGAGAGAACGGTGCTGGTCGAGGTGTGCAATGCTTCCACAGAAGAGATGGAAGTCGAGACTGGTGCTTACCTCGCCGCGGTGACTGTCGTGCCCGAGTCAGCCTTCACCGCTGAAGCACTAGAGCGAGAGGGAACGCCGGAAAACATCAGTGCGGTACTAAGCACCTCGAGTAAGAACGCCGAGACTCGGGTTGAGACGGGAGAGGTGGAAATGATCGCAGCAATGAAGGACGGAGACGACGATGACTTCGAGGTGGACTTTCAAGACTCATCGTTAGGGGCTGAACAAAGGAGACTCTTCGTGGAAATGCTGAAGGACATGCGAGTTTTGTTCGTCGAGACCTCTAAGAAACCTGGAAAACTTCTGCGGTTCAGCATTGACACTGGAACGCACGCACCGATTAAACAGCCCCGTACCGAGTTTTGAAGGATGAAGGAGACGTTGTGGAGTCTGAGATTGAAGAATACCTAGACCTTGGTCTTATCAGACCTTCAACGAGCCCG